TTGGGTGTGAATCGAACAAAGGTCATTCATTTCATGACTTTAACTTTTTTCATGTGCTCAAGAAACAGACTTTGATGAGTCATCAAAAGTACACGCACATTTGGTTTCAAGGTTTTACATACATATCAGGACATAAATTTATTCAAATATAACCTCAACTGAGAAAAAAACACTCAACAGACTCTGCCAAATGACAAACAAAAACTAGATACCCTCATGATTAACCAGCTTGTAAAGTCAACCAGAATTTTTGTGGAGCAATTTTTAGCTCACTCTTTCCTTCAATGTTGCTTCATTATATTGACATTTGCAGATGTTTATTTCTGTACAGCTGAAGGTCCCAGCACAGCATTTCAGTGAAGTCAGAATGTGGACTTTGGATCATTGCATCACTTTTTTCATCAGGCATCCTGTGGTGAGTTTGCTGCAATGTTTAACATTTTTCTTTGTTTCATGACCCAGTTTGGTCCAGTCTTTAGCTGGAAGTCATGTTTGACTCCAAAAGATTTTGTAAACAAAGGAGTTAATGGATGACTCAGTGACTATGATGACCAGGTCTGGTGGATACCAAATACGTCCAAATCATCACCCTTTCACCTCTGTTTCTGACAGCATTAGGTTCTTCATTTTGCAAACATACTGTGTTATTTCTGAACATGTCTACCAGTTTAACTTACTAACAATGGTCTCAAGAGTCTGAGATGGACTTCAGGTTATTTTTTTTTTATTTGAACATTTGGGAAAATTTTGCTGAGCTTTTGTAACAGTTATACTAGAAACATAGCTTCAGCAACTGTTTTTCAATTTTATTTCCAGTTCTGGACCCCATCTCATGACGCACTGCATGTAGTTCTTGGTGATCTACAGTGGGGTCCCAACTCCAACTCTGGGAACCACTGGTTTATTGTACCAAACGTAATTTATCTTACATCTGCAGCAGTGGCGTTTCAAAACACTACTAAAAAAACATCTTACTTATTTTTTGGGAGTATTATTTCCTGTGTGTGGCAGCTGATTATGGGCTCACAACCTACACAAGGTCTCTGGAGCTGTCGGGCTCTGCTGTTTGACAATAAACCTCCAAAGATTCTGCTGGGAAGTGGCTTAAACACAACACTAACTCCACACACTTCTGGTTTAGTGACTCAAAATGATGAATTAAAGACTGTAAATTCTTACTTCTATGAAGGCCAGAGTGTTGTTTCATAATCCCGTGTTGTGAATATCAGCAATGTTTAGATGTATTGCCCACATCTTCTTGCTCCATGATTACGGTTTAGACGCTAACCTCCTCTCAGTGGATGTGTCACCCCATCATGTAGATCAGGGATTCCCTAAGTGTGGTGCGTGCACCTCTGGGGGTGCGCGAGATGAAAAGTGTTATGGCTGCGGAGCTCAGAGAAGTCTGTCATATGTCACCATTAGCGTAGTCAGAAACTCATTTGTGGGTGGGCCTAAGAAAAAGTAAGTGGGTCCAATAAATGCAATTGAAAACAAGTATATTTTGCTTGTGTGTGTGTGTGTGTGTGTCCTCTGCATGTGCCCTAGCTTCATAATAATAATGTGCTCCGAGATTCAGCACTCTGACCTGCGCACGCTGTTAATAGCAACATATGTTCCGTACTTGATCATTTTTAACGATGTTGGAGAAATCTGAAGGTGAGTCATTCTGGCAGATTGTAATTAACACCCCGTCTCATGCAGGTGTTCTGACATTGTAAACCTCACACAAATAACATTGTGGATGTACCAAAATAAATCAAGAAATGATTCCCATCTGAGCATTTTGGCATTATTATATATTAGCACACTGACTGTGGGACAGCATTCTAAACGTGTCAGGCTATTAACAGCGCGCTGAAGATCTGAAGTTCAGAGTGCGTCTGTCAGAGGTCAGACGCGTTCCAGCGGAACCACGGCTCACGGGTGTGCATGTGAGCACATCTGGGCTGGGCATAAGTAATTTTACAACATTGGTTTAAATAGCGCCAATAACGAGACGCAGTGACTGGAGTGGCTTATGGAGCTGTGCCACACACACACACACACACACACACACACACACACACACACACACACACACACACACACACACACACACACACACACACACACACACACACACACACACACTGATTCAACAAGTGCATGCTGCGCTGTGCCTTCAGACTAAAGGCAGAAATGAGCGCTGCTGCTTCCATGATAAAAAACTTTTAAGAGGTTTTATAACAGCATTTTTCATTCAAGGTCATATTAGCGTCCATTTTGGGATGACGTATTAAAATTGAGTCCGCTCCAGCCAGTGACTCCTCATGATCCTGACCACAACTCATGTTACTGCAGCATTTGTTATTCCAGTCCGTGTGGCAGCGGATCACAGATTCAGCCACACCATAAAACAGCAATAATTCTATCTGAGGCAAAAGTGAAGCTCATGGCTATAGCTTTTCCATCGTTTGCCCTATAGACATTTGATTATGCACAAGTAGGTGGCCAGTTCAGGTTTACGCAGAGCAGAAGGAAGGAGAGAGCTCTGTTTAAACGTTCCTGCTTTAAGAAAACCGTTAAATTGCATTGTTTATGTGCCACCAGGGTACTCTAAATATTGATTTAAAATTAAATCAAAGGAAATTGTAATGGTATTGAATGTTTATTAATTACTATTTCAAAAATACCTAATACATAAACATAAAAATGAAAGTGATGGGGAAAAAGGTCGATCATATTTTTTTAACCTTGTCTGTCGAGTGACTGTTTAGCGTGACGTCTGATATATATATTTAAATACATCTGGATATATATATATATATATATATATATATATATATATATATATATATATATGTATGTATGTATATATATATATATATATATATGTATGTATGTATATATATATATATATATATATATATATATATATATATATATATATATATATATATATATATATAAGCCTTTATTTGTTATAATTGTGATGAGGACTAGCGAGAAAAGTGGAATATTGCTAGTAATCTTGGAGATATGACACTTATGTTTGTTGTACTTGTATGCATTCTTAGATTTAAAAACTACAAGGAAAATAATTTCATAATAATTTGTGCTTGCCATAGTGTGGGACAATACTGCCATCTTTTGAAGGAAACCAAGCTTTTCATAGATATTGGCAGTCCATCTCCAATCCTATCAGGGTTGTTTTTCCACTTTAATGTATTTCATGTAGATATTTTACTTAAACAGGAAATCTACATACAGGGATCAATAAAAAATGAGCAAAGCCAAATATTATTATCTAAACATTCATAACATAATGCAACTTTTTAAAGATATATTAATTTGCCATTTTGCCTTGCATCTCTCAGCCTGTCTTGCTCAGACATGGTGCCTCCGGGTTCCAATAGAAAGTCATCAGTCATGCTGAGCAGCCAGCAGCTGAGCAGGCTTTTATTGATCCTCCACAAATCTGCCATATGGCCTTGATGGAGAGTGGGGAGGCTCATCACAGTGTAGCATCTCTTCTTCTAATGACACTATCACGTTTAGGCAAGTGACAAAACCAAGAGCTGTGGACCAGAAAGCTAAATATTTCCTCTTTCACTGTATTCTTACTGTAATAAGGTGCCTTGTTTAGTGGGTGACAGGCCGAGAATGCTGGCAGCAAAGTTCAGAACCAGTTGTTGTGATATTTGGAAAAGGTCACTGTTACAGTTTTGCTCACCCAAATATGACCCTTCACCCTTGACTTTTTATCCAGACAATATGCTCAGAGGTTAGTTTCCTTTATGGCGACGATTTGATTCTGTGTATGCAGAAAAAAAAAATCTGTGCTTGCAAATAAACTTCAAAGGTTTCTGTGTGAAACACATTTTCTTTCCAAAGCCACAGTGCCCCAGAGATCACAGCAGTTACAGATGACACGCCCTTATTTGTGCCCATTGTGTTGTCTCTTTCAACATTTGTACCCAAGCTAATACATGTCTTACAAACTGTTCTGCAATTTCTGCATGTTACTTTATTTTACACATACTAAATTTTTTTGTTTTTGTTAATACATTTGGTAGAACAGAAAGAAAAATATCTAGATATATCTGTAAGTGTAATGCATTTTGCATGTATTTTTAAATCAACAGTCAGACAATTTGATGTGTTGACTGATGTTACGCAGAGAATTTTCAACCACACAGAAAAGACACATAGACTGAAAATATCAAAGGAAATTAAAAACCTCCAGAGAAGCTGGGTTTCATCGTCTCTGGTTTTTTTCAAGTTTATTTATTCCAGTGTCATCTAAAACCTCCTTTTGGGCGGTGCCAATGGGAGTTTTAGGGAGGGGTTCCTCCTCATCCCCATGGGAGTTCAGCAACACTGCTGACTCCTGTAAGGGTGGCCTGAGTCCTCTAACCAGCTCTAAAGGCTTTATTTAAAATTCAAAAGGGCACCTGCTTTGCAATATGACTCCCACTTAACCTTATTTTAACTCTTTTTGCAAATAATAAAATTAATAATCATCATCATCATCAAAAATCATTGCAAGATTAAATTTATTTATTCTTTATTTAACCAGGAAGGTCCCATTGAAATTAAAAACCCAATTTTCAAGGGAGTCCTGGAAGTTACAGTTATACATTTTTCTGCTTCACAGACATGTTATGCACAAAATGACTGAAGGCAGTTACAACACAGGGAATTTCATCTCAATGGTTCTCAGTTTGGTTTTAAATGTACTCAAGGGGGAAAACTCGGTTAATTTCCAGTTTTCCTGCAGCCTGTTCCATGCAGAAGGAGCAGAGTGAACGAAAGCCCTTTCTAAATAATATTTTATTCCTCCTAATTAAACCTAGTTTGAACTATTCACTTTTTCCCACCTTGTCACAGAAGGAGACGGTTTCGATGTTATTTTAAAAATTTAATTGTCATTAAGAAGTGCCCCACATCCGGCAGCCAATCACATTGAGCCATGTTTGGTTGCTAGACAACGAGTGGACCAATCAGCGCTGTGTTTGGGTTGTGCGCCTGTTGGTTGTAAGTTCACTGCCAGTCGGACAGGACTACAGAGCTGGCAAACGGGAAGCACTTTGGAAATACATAATTAATTGCAACGTAAAGTAAGTACTCAAGCCATTAAGTGGTGTTTTCTTCAGTAAATGGTCGCTTTCGCTACTGAACCGGGTTCAGACCGGTTCAAACAGGGCGGCGAAGTCTGCTAAATAAAAGCGTGAGCGAACCGGTGTCTATATGTTCCTAGCTAACCCAGCAGTTTTTCGTTATAGCAGGAAGCTTTGGTAACTACGTTTAATGATGCTGAGGCTACTGTAGAGTTGTATTAAATGGGTTGGCCCATCTACGAAGCTGTACATCCACAGGAGCCACAGGTCAGGTAAAGGAAGCCAGCTATGTCCCAATGCTTTGACCTCTGTCTGTGTTTTATAGCTTTTTTGTCCTGTTCCGGGTTTAAAGGATAATTTTACCATTTGATGCACCAAACATTTTAGGTTTAATGTCAGGTGTTCATAACATACCTATGTCATTACGTTTATGAATGAGGAAAAACAAAATATTCTGAACTAACTGGAAATATTGCACGCAAGCACCGAGTGTATCTGCTCAGTTAATTAGTAAATGAAAACTTATTAAGTTAAAGGTTACTACTTGTTGAGTAGTTAATCTAAAAGGGATCTTATAGGCCTAATCTTTTTGGCAGTGCGAGGCTTTCCATCTGTCCCATCAGATTAAGTGTCACAATGAACAACAGACAGTTGTGTCTTCTCTGAAAACACGTAAACAAACAGAGAAAATTTACAAAATATATTAGCTATATACATTTTGAATGCACACTTTGTTTTTAATAGTAACTGTTGCTCCAAAATGATATTTTATACAGGTTATTTAATGACTTTTGTTGTCTTCCATGTTTTATTATGTCAAACTAATGTATAATTAGGCGATTTTGATTAATCAGTTGGTGCTTTGAGTTAAAATATCTGCCTGATCCTAATCTGTATCCTATCAAATGTTGCAGTATTGGTACAGCAACTGTACCAGTGCTGTAGCAACCTTAGGATGGGAAAATTCCTCTTAATTTCTACAAACAATTAGTGTAGTGTTATACTTAATGTAATTGAACTTCTGATGTTCAGTGTGTAGTTTGTTTCCCCTGCTTCATCACTGCATATGTACTTCCAAAGCCTTGTAATCCTAAAGTGTTGAATGGCCACTGCTAATCTGACCATCTATTTCAGGACTGCGTAGGTGGATTTTGTGGTTTGTAATCTGCAAATGCCATAGATTTTCCAGACTGGTCCTGCACTGCAACAATGCCGGAGTCCTCGCTGTGTGAGTTTACATTTTAATATCTCTGTAAACAAAGGCTTTGCTTTCTGTCAACGGCCTCTGTTAGAATTTTTTTCTAGTTTGCTTTTTGTTTTGTTTGACACCCTCATTTAGTTCTGATTTATAGTACAATGATTCTGTGCTGTTCTCTGCCTTGTGTCATATAAAATAGTTACATATGGATGCTAAATCAAATGTAATTTTGAATGAAAAATAAATCAAGTCTAAATTAAACACAGAAATGTACAGAGTATGTATTTGACAGACTTCTCTCCTCACAAGTCAAGGACGGTCGCCGCAGCTCTGTTGAAAGTAGAACACCCCCCTTGAGGCAGCTGAGCCAGTCGTTGCAGCCACTCCACAGAAATCCCCACACGATCAGTATTTTCTGCTCAGAGCATAATGTGCAGGAATGCCTGTCACACATCAATATGGTTAGTGGCCTTTCAGGTGTTTCTGATGTAGAAATGAGTGTGCCTCATGGCAGCTCAGCTTGAATTTAGGCATTTTAATCATATGAAGAAAGTGTATTATTGTTATTTTGTAAGGGAAACACATATTTTATTCTCCATATAATTTCTTTTTTTGTTCTCTTTCTTCCGGTGCAGGAAGTCTCGTCACTGGGCCTCCCACCAGTTTGGTCAGAGCTGGATGGCAGCTCAGTGCTGAATGTTGTCGCTGTGCTGAATCGCATGTATGACCTGATTCAGCTGCACCACAAGAGCCTCAGAACTGTGGAAAACATGGAGGTGGAGCAGCTTAAGCTCAACAGCAATGTAGACTTCTTGAAGCTCACAACCACTCGGCTAAAGGTACCTGCCTGCTGTTTTACTGTTGTTTTAGAATAAGAAAACCTTGAAAACCTCAAGATTGCTGAATTGTTACTGCACGGTGTAGAAATCAACTTAATATTAAAACCAAAAAAAACATTTCTTGCATTTCCTTTGATAGTATACTTTCTTCTTGTAAATTCTGAAAACTAATATGGTTTTAATTGATCAAGTTCTATGGAAAAGGCTTTGTTGACAGTTGCATTTTTATTTTACAGGAACAGCTTGATGTTTCTAAAAGAGAAAACACAGGACTTCTTGAGAGAGAACGACAGCTCCTGCTGAAAGTCAAGAGTTTGCAAAACTGCCTGAAAAACGAAAAAGAAGAGGTGTGGCATTGAAACTTTTACCGCAGGTATTTTAGACCTAATTTGTGGTCAGATGTTTGTGATGCTTCTGTTTTGAGCAGGTGCAAAAACTTCAGAACATAATTGCCAGCCGTGCCAGTCAGTACAATCACGACATGAAGAGGAAAGAAAGAGAGTTCAACAAACTGAAGGAGCGATTAAATCAACTGCTGGCAGACAAGAAAGAGAGAAAACAAGGTAAAATAGAAAATACCTGCAAAAATATATTGGAAATAAACAATAATAAACTGTTAAAAGCTGGACAGCTGCAGGAAATGTTAGCATGAGCTAGACAGATAAGCTGTTGGTGTGTTTAGATGGTTTTGTAAATCTCACAAATGTTTTGACAAGGAAGTTATGCAGTTTCCTTAGGAAAACACATGTTAACTCATTCACTGCCATTGACGACTAAAGTCATCATTTTAAATCCAATGACGACTAAATCGTCATTTGCATTTTTTTACTGTGTGGGCATCGGAACGAGCCCCCGCACCGTGAGAACAAACATCTCAGCTCTAAAGCCGATCTTCATCCACATACGCCACTCGTCACATGATCAGGAAGCAGAAAATCCATGTGTTAGGAGATTGTTTTGGGCCGCTGCTGTAAAAAAAAAAAAAGTGAGGCGCGAACTGGAAAAGCTTCTGCTGATCACAATTCAACAACGGATTATGAAAGAACGGATAACGCTTGAAACGCGTGGATTCTTCCTGATGTAAGAGGTGAGTCTACGCTTTGTTTTGGTAGTTTTGGCGTCGACATCATCCTAGCGCACAACGTTCTGCGACTCTTAAAAAAACAGTAAAAACGGTGAGAAACGCTGGCAGCGAAGGGCTTTACCCATCAGGAAACGGCTGGCAGGGAATGAGCTAAAGATCATAAAAGACCCTCATAGAATCTGTGTCACACTGTCATTAGCTGGGCCATTTGCTTCCAAAATGATTAATCCCAAATAAAAACGTATGAATGTTTACATGTAAAAATATATTTTGATGTCTTGCCTTCAAGCTATTGATGTCCTCAATAACATTGGGAGAGCGGATGGCAAGAGGAGCCTTTGGAAAACTGAAAAAACAGAGGCAAAGTATGTTATGCTCACTTCTAGGTTAAGTTTTTTGTATGTCTATTTTAATTTTGTTTTTAAAAAGTTAAACTGAGTTACATTTAGTCAAAATGAGAACTTGTAAAGAAAGACTTGGTTCTGGTGTTCTGATTCATGTTTATCTGTGAAACACGTTATTTTTCTAAAGAGTAAGTCATCATGTGACAACTCATTGTGGGATGTTGTCTTCCAGTATTTGATGTGATATTTTAAGATTATTTTTTAAACAAACAAATAAATAAATAATTATAAGTGTGTTTGTTATCTAAAGGCATGAGGGGGAGATGTACAAGACTCTTCTGAATGACTACGACTCCAGACAAAGGGAGCTTGTGTTGGAAAATGCTGAGCTGAAAAAAGTTTTACATCAGATGAAAAAGGAAATGATGTCCGTACTCAGGTCAAGAAAACTGTCCCTGAGAGGAGAGAAAGCTGACTTAAGTGGCACACAGGTGGGGCAATTTGTTTTTGCTTCAGTTTAACATCTTCATACATAATTTGAAGGGAAATTTAAAAGACTTTTTTTTAAAATCTCACTTAAGGCCGCTTCAGAGGAGGATGAGGAAGAGGTGTTTGACTCAGAGCTGACTTGTGTTCATGCTCGGGAGAAACTCACCAACAGTATTCGCCTCCAGTGGAGACGACTCAAGAGCCACGTCGAAAGACTGGACAGCCAAGGTGATTAGATGCTTGTCACTATAGATAACTTAGATGAATTTTAAGGAAAATGTGTCTTTACTTAAAAAAAATTAAAATCAGAATACATTTAATCAACAAACAACAAATTCAAGTCCTGTCTGCACAAAAGTTCCATTTAGCTCACAGTTAAAGGTAAAGAACAAGAATACAAAAATGTTCTAATTGACCCAAATGTACTACAGAATGCAGAAAAGGTCAAGAAACAGCATGTTTTATTAGGAAACAATCTTGCTTTACATTTTTCTTTATCAATGCTTTAAATACTTTATCAATACTTTAAAACGAAACAAATATTTGTTTATGTGTGTGTGTGTGTGTATATATATATATATATATATATATATATATATATATATATATATATATATATATATATATATATATGTGTGTGTGTGTGTGTGTGTGTGTGTGTGTGTGTGTGTGTGTGTGTGTGTGTGTGTGTGTGTAGTTGATGTGAAACGGGTAAATAAAAAAACATTTTTGAAAATGACTAATTTCCATTTTACCTTTCTAGTGTCTTTGACTCAGATGAGCAAAAGTACAACCGGTGATCCTGTTCCTCCTCGAGAGACTTGTGAGAAGGAAATGGAAAGACTCAAACTTGAAATTCAGCAGTGCAAAGACTTTATTCAGACACAACAGCATCACCTACAGGCAAGACTGTGATTCTCTTTACTAAAGCCCCATTCCCATCTGTACCGGGTCGGCCCGGGCCGGGTAGCGTAGGTTGTTTACATATCTGGGTGGCCTGGAATTTTCCCGGGCCAACCAAGGCTCATTCTCGGCCCTCTTCCCGAGGGGTACTGCTTCAGGCCGACCAGGGCCAACACACCCACTGCTGACAGCAAATTCACACCTTCCATTAGAGCAAGCCTCTGATTGGTGGGTAGAATCAGCCCACATGGGCTTAAGGCAAGGATGTGTGGAATCAACCGGGCCAGGCTGGGGCCGACTGGGGCTACCCGGCCCGGGCCGACCCGGTACAGATGGGAATGGCCCAAAAGAGGCTAAAGGCAACTACTTTGAATTAGATGCTAATGACCACACGAAGTTTGTGAGGGTTTTCCTGAACAGAGTTTGTTGAATTTTGGGCTTGTCTAAAATAATAACACATTTACTGGGTTATCGAGGTCTGTGGAGTAGAATTCAACAGATAGTGTTTTTCCTATTTCTGACACCAATGCCGATTTGTGAAGATCAAGATAAGCAGATGGCTGATATGTGCAGCAGATTTTTCTGGGCTGATTTTCGTGGCCAATATCTAAATGTTTTCCATCTTATCTGAATGATAAAATGTTGCTAATAACGTCAGTTGATGCAAAACATGTAATTAAAATGACAATCTAGTTGAAAATAATTATTTGAGCAGTTAATATGCAGATTTTGTTTAGGAACATGAATATATAATTAAATAAAATTCTGCCGCAGCATCGGGCTGCCTGGAGATATCCCTGAATTTAAATTGCCATTACCAAGCAGGTATATTAGCCGATGCTGATAAAAATGGTAAATATCATCCCGATGTGTCCCCTATTGTGGAAACAAAGCAAACTCAGCACTGCAATTACACTCTTTTTATGTGTTTGGTTGATTTTTGTAATTGACAATGTTTAGAAAAAAAGTTGTTTAATTTTTCGTTTAGAAAAAAAAAGTTCACTTTAGAGCCACAGTTTAGAAGATAAGTTTAATCCACCATTTTAAAGTAATGACATGATTTTTTTGCACTTTTATTTATGTGAATTAACAAACAAACAAAACTTCTTCATAATGAAATGATTGTTGACTGGAAATGTGCTTGGACTTTCTCTTGTTGCAGCAGAAACTGAGCACCCCCTGTGATGAAGATGCTGCTCTACTCCTGAATGACAGTTACATGCTTCAGGAGAAGGAGCGCCTGAGAGGGGAGTGGAAAAACCTGGAGGAACAGAGAACGATCTTTGAGAAAGAGAGGAGTAACTTTACTGAAGCAGCTATTAGACTGAGCCATGAGGTAAAACTACTAATCAGGAAAACACAGTTGTTAGGAAAATCACAAGTTTTTGAATAGTTTCTAAAATGATCTGTTTTTTGATTTACCTTTCAGAGAAAAGTCTTTGAAGAGGATCGAGCAACATGGCTCAAACACCATTTTTTAAGCTTGAGTCCATTTGAAAACTCTATTAAACCCCAGCTATCAAAGTCTTCAAGTGCCATTTTGATTTGTGAGTGTCTCTCCCTGAACTACTGCTTGTGAAACTTCGCATGACAGTCGATTAAAGTTTAAATGTAATGTATTTATATATTGAAATCTTCGAAAGACAGACATAATAGAACATTTTAATATTGGACCACTTTTTGACTATGATGAAAAATCAATATTTTCACTAGCAAACTATACAGTTTTCAGTTATTACTTAGAAATACTTGCAGAATAAATAGAAATCAGGAACACTTTTTAATATCTTATCACAGCAGTCACTTAGTTATTTTCTTATTTTACCAGCTGAAGCAGACTCGAGTGCACAGTTGGCTCCAGAAAAGCTCAGTTCCTGCTATTCAAACTCAACTTCTTCACCCAGTGCTTTTATCACATCGCCTTCCATCTCCAACTTGCAGCACACACTTGACCTTATCCCAGAAAATGGGTACACAGTTTTTATTTGCATTTTAATTTCTGAAGCATTCATGTATTGTGTTTGAATAAAAAAAATCCAACTCTTATTGTCTCCAGATCAACAAAACCTGGAAGAGAAAGAAGCGTCCTCTGTGAAAATATTCATCCAAGAGACAAACTGTGGAATGACGACAAAGACCTCAGCTCCAAATGAAGCCAAAAACATTTCTCATTTAATCTATATTTGCTGTCAGAGTTTGGTGATTTTAGAAAATAGCCTGACTGGCCAAAAAAAAAACCCACATTGAAAAAAGATACGTTTTTCAAAGCCAAAAGTTTCTAGTTAACATATAAGAGTTATATATAAGTTAATATATAAGAGCCTAAGTCACGCCCATCTAGTTATGGGCCATGGGTCCCTGGAAGAATGAAAAAATTAATGCAAGTCAATGGGGCTATAAAAGCTATTTTCTAATCCTGTTTGTTATGTGCCATGGATTTCACATATTATGTCAGTGAATTTTAGATATTCTGATGCCAAGAAAGGGCTTATTTTCAAATGGGAGCAAAAGTTATTTTAGGTTTTGTGTGAAAATATGTCCAGGACTACAAATGCGCATCACCAAATTAACATCATCAAACCACACACGGAGAAAAGCAGATGTAAAGTGGCTGTAAGTTTAGCAAACTTCAAATCATTTTTTTAAGGAGGAAAGAACCACCATAAATCTCACCATGTAGAAAGTAACAGCTACGCTAGGAAAGAGGAGGTTCTGTGGTAACGTCATATATGCGACGTAACGATGTCAGACTTGTAGTCATAGCAAGTACAAATTTTTACAAGTTGATGAATCTCAAAGTACGTGACAGGTGTGGTCGAAACACATCATTACCTTTTAAATTGAAGTACATCATATGTGAGATCCAGGGCGTAAGGCAAAGCAGATTAGAAAAGAGCTCTTTTAGCCATATTGACTTGCATTCATTTTTCCCCTCTATTTTTGTTAAGCTTTTACAGTGTAAACATACAAACTTATAATAACAAAACACATGCATAACAGCAAAGAAAACAGAACCTGACAGGTTAACCAAAATAGGGAAATAAGACAAGGCTAAAAATAATGAAAATGGGAGACTTAACCCACCCCACCATCCCGACGAAGACCTTGTTTTGGAGTTTCTCCAGGACCCCACTAATTAATTAGAAGAGCAAGGTTAAATCAGCTTAATATTAGCAAGGTACTGTATAAAGGGTTGCCAAGTTGCATCAAAATATTGGAGTTTGTCCTTCAAAACGTATCTTATTCTTTCCAGATGTAATGTATTTGTTAATTCCTCCAGCCTTATTTTGTCTGTTGGAGGTTTTTCCACTCTTCCACCTCGTAAGGATAACTTTTTTCCCTATTATAAGACCGTATGAAATGAAGCACCGCTGTGCTTTGTTGAATTTGTTAAAGGTTTCAGACACTCCAAGAACAATATATAAAGGGTCCGGTTCTATCACACATTTCACCACCTCGGACATCACACTGAAGACCTCAGACCAAAAATTGCCTATTTTTGGGCAAAGGACATGGAGATGAGCTGCCACGGAGGTTTTGCATTCATCACACAAAGGTGATACTGTAGGATATATATTATGTAGTTTTTCCTTTGAGAAATGAAGTCTATGTATGATTTTAAATTGAATAAGACAATGTCTTGCACTATGTGAACAGGTGCAAATCTCCTCAAGGGCACTGTTCCACAAATCTTCTGCAATCTGTTCCCCAAAATATTTCTCCCATTTGTGTCTATATATATATGGGCAGGCGGGGAATTTAATAACTAGAGGTTCTTATAAATATGCGCTATCAGTTTAGGTTCATGTATCTGCAATTTCAAGCAGTCATCTATTAAATAAAGTTTTTGGTTCGGTCTGAAAATCCTCAGAATGCCTACGTATATAATCTCTAATTTGTAAATATTGGAAATATGTGTTTTTCCAGTCCAAACTTCTACTGTAGTTGGGAGAACAAGGCGAACGCCCCTTGTACATACAGATCTCCAACACATTCAATGCCTTTCTGATTCCACCTAGAGAAAGCTCCACCCGAGTCAGATGGGGCGAAGGTAGGCTTTCTGTCTATGGGCAATACAAAGGATATGGCCTTGAGATTATTGCTGGATTTAATTTGTTTCCAAATACAAATTGTGTCATGAATAACCGGATTGTTGTTGTATAATAACCGACTGATCTTAGTTGGGACCAGTAGAATTGTAGCCAATGAATATGGTTGGCATTCTTCTCGGTCCATCTGAAGCCAATTAGGTGGAGACTTTGTGGTATTTAGCCAGAAGATGCACATTTTAATCACTGAGGCCCAGTAATAAAATAGAAAATTTGGAAGTGCTAATCCTCCAGCAAGTTTAGGTCTGCACAGATTTCTTAGCTATTCTGGGAGCCTTATGTCCCCACACAAAAGGAATTATTAAAGAATCTAATTGCTTAAAAAATGTCTTTGAGGAATAGTGGAATATTCTGAAAGAGATATAACAGCTGCGGCAATAGGACCATCTTAACTGCGTTTATTCTTCCGATCATAGAAATTGGAAGCGTGTCCCAGAACAATAACTTTGAGTGCAGCTTCTCTATTAAAGGAGGGAAGTTGTATTGAAAGAGTGAGGCATACTGTCTTGTTACTTCAATTCCTAAATATGTAAATCTTTCTAAGGTGATTCTAAACGGAAAATTAGCGAGGAATGTTAGGTCCTCCCTGTAAACTGGGAGTAAAATGCTTTTTGTCCAGTGAATCTTGTATCCTGTGAAGGTTCCAAATAGATTGATTTTATCTAAAAGTGCTGGTATAGTAATTTTTGGGCATGTTAGATAAAGAATACCGTATGCATACAGATATTTTATTAATTGTGTCTTTAGTAGTGTATCCTTTTATTTGTGGGTCTAGCCTAATACTTTGAGCCAATGGCTCTATAGCAAGAGCAAAGATTAAAGGGGAGATGGGGCATCCCTGTCTCGTCCTCCTGCACAGCCCGAATGAGGAAGACAGTGTGCGATTGGTTAGAATTTGGGCTGTTGGGATTTTGTAGAGAAGCTTATTTAGTGACAAAAAACCATTCACAAAGTTTAATCTACTGAGTACTTCAAATAGGTATCGCCATTCGACCTGATCAAACGCCTTCTCAGCGTCAAGTGCGAGTATGACAAGATCCGAGTGTGGATCCCTTCTTGAGTACATAATATTAAAGAGGCGTCTAATATTAAAGGTGGAATTTCTATAAGGTACAAAGCCCGTCTGATCTGAATGAACCAACTTCTCCAATAAAGGGCTCAGTCTGTTAGCAAGTATTTTAGCAAATAGCTTCCCATCAACATTCAGGAGCGAAATAGGGCGATAAGCACCTACTTCTTGTGGATCTTTTCCTTTTTTATGAATTACCGTGATCACAGCTTCAGTTAAGGTCGGCAGTAGAGCCCCGTCTTCTTGAGCATGTTTGAATACCCTCAGTAGATAGGGAGACAACTTTTCACTGTATTTTTTATATAGTTCTCCAGGGAGTCCAACGGGACCTGGCGCTTTGTTACACTTTAATGTACTAATGACAGCTTGAACCTCCTGGGTTGTGAGCTCTGCATTCAATGAATTACAATCTCGTCATCTAGTTTGGGTAAATTACATTTACCATAGAATTTATTCATAGTCTCAGGGTCTAAAATGGATTTAGAAGTATAAAGTTCTTTATAACATTCAGCGAATCTATTATTAATATCTTTGGGTTTTGTGAGCAACGTATTATCACTGGCCTTATCTTTATGTATTGTCCTATCATTTTCCATTTTTTGGAGCTGACGTGCAAACAATTTATGTGGCTTATCCCCAAATTCGAAGCACCGCTGTCGAGTATACAGGAATGCTCTGCTTATCTTTACCGATAAAATTAGGTTATATTCATATTTCAGCAACGTTTTAGACGCTTCAAATTAAATTATACTGCCTCTAATGTAGGCTTTAAATGCCTCCCAGAGAGTAGAGGGGGACGTTTCAGGAGTGTCATTCATCTCAAAGTACAGTGAAATTTGATCTTTTAAGTAATCACAAAATTTTTTATCTGTGAGCAGATGGGGATTTAACCGCCAAGAGGTATGCGGTTTGTCTTATTGATCTAAACATAATGAGAAGGAAAGTGGGCTATGATCTGAGATTACAATGCTTTGATATTGAGCATCCACTACAAAGAGTGGCAATTTAGTATCAACTAGGAAGTAGTCTATCCTACTATAGGAATTATGTACGGGCAAAAAAAAAAAAGGAATAGTCCCGTCCTTAGGGTTTCATCACCCTCCTTATATCTAGGATATTTTTGTTTTTAATATATGTATTTATTAGTTCACTTGAGGCATTTCTCTGAGGTTTCTTTATGGAGGATCTATCTAGATATGCTTCCAAAACGGTATTAAAGTCTCCCCCAATTATCTAATTTGTCTGTGACAGATCTGGTATTAGTGCAAACACCTTCTGAAAAAATACCGGGTTATCCGTATTAGGTGCATATATATTTACCAGTGTAAGCGGCACATTCTGGATCTCTCCAATCACTACAATGTAACGGCCCTCTTTATCAGTTATTATATTTTTCTGCAGAAAAGGTGTTCCTTTTCTAATTAAGACTGCTACGCCTCTGGCTATGGAAGAAAAGGTCGAATGGTAAATCTATCCACCTTGCCCTGAGCCTGTTATGCGATTTATTGTTCAGGTGGGTCTCCTGTAAAAATATGATGTCCGAGGCCAGGGTTTTAAGATGCGACAGACACTTTCCTCTTTTAACTGGATTATTTACTCCACACACATTCCAGCTGGAAAAGGTGAGGTTTTTCTGCTGCTTGGTACTGTCGCTCGTGTTCTCACTTATTGATAATCAATTTTATAAGGCCTTGTCCTCCCAACCCACGTCTCCCACCCCTTGTCAACCTGAACCACACATTAACAAGAAACAAAATAAACCACTCTGGCCAGTTAAAAGTGAATGGCGGAAGCCTTCTTAGGGAATATAAAAAAAGAACAAAAACAAAACACAAAAAACTAAAACATATATCTACGGTTACTTCCACACCAACGGGTGAACTGTTAACTTCAAAATCAGTCCATCAGCTCTGAGCTATCAGCACAGATTTCAACATAAGAAGCATGTACATGGGGAGTGGGACCAAGTAGGGGGTTACATACACACGTGTAGCATCTCCATTCTATTAGCAGTTATATATGCCTGAAGGAGGCAATCCAAATTGCAAACTTTATCTTTATTTTCATTTGTTTATCCCGATAACAAAATAGTCCTTTAACTATAGTTTTAGAAACAGGAGGTGAGAATGTGTCCCATTGACAGTCCATTTAAACGCATTGAACATAATCATAGAGCTAAATACAGTGGATTAATAACGCTCGTTTATATAAGAAGTATGGTACCGAAATGTTATGGCCTCTAAATCGTAGAGAACATGACCATTTATCTGCACATAGCTTTTTACCGACCTGCAATGGAGTGTTAGTTGAATTGTTGCTTGCTAATTTTCAGGTTGCAGTGAATGTTATTGTTAGCCACCAGGCTAGTTAGCTTGCTCCCGGTGAAGAGAGTCACTCGGGGAGCTTGTGTCCATCAGTCTGCAGTCCCCGCAGATGACCCTGGATCAGAAAGGCGTTCCGCGTATTCTTTGGCTTTTTTAGGATCAATGAAGGATGTCTGTGTGCCATTGTGAGTGATTAATAGTCTTGCAGGGTAGAGCAGGCCATACCTGAGTCCGGGTTTATCGCGCAGTAGTTCCCTGGCGCGGTTAAACAGAGCTCTTCGTGTAGCCATGGATGGAGGGTAGTCAGGAAATACTTGAATCTTCTTGCCTTTGAATAAAAGTTGTTTTGTCGCGCTGGCTTTCCGTAGGATGTCCTCACACGTATGGTAGTAGTGTAGCCTCAGGATGATGGGTTTCGGAGGTTCTCGGGGGTCAGGACTTCTCTGCAGAGTCCTCTGTCAATAAGTGGCTTCTCGTCTAGAGAAAGCACGTCTTTTAGAAGATCGGCTACATAGTCCCGGGGACAAGATTTTGTCTTCTTGATCTACCTTCCAAGTCCTCACACTTTTCAGTTAATTCCCCCACTTCGGAGTTCAGTCTTGTTACCTGGCATTGGAGAGCGAGTACATCATCAGAGTGATGTGAGTCTGACTTCTCCAGCTCTTTAATAGTCTTCCCGTGCGAGGTTGCGGTTTCTTCAAGGGTTGTAATAGAGGTCTGATTTTCCCTCTTAGCTCCAGCTAGCTCCCCTCTCAGCTCCGCGTAGACCATTTCTATACGTGCATCTATGGTGGTGCATATATCATTCTTTATCTGGGCTACGTCCCTACGAAGGTTAGCAATGGCAGCTAGTATTTCCCGGTTGGGAGGATCCGTTTCGCCTCCCATCTCCCCGGGTAGAGGTGTGTCACTCAAGTCCGAGGGTTGGCTGGGGCCTTCATCTTGTTGGTCGTTCTTCTCGATTTTCACCTTTTTCGACATGACTTTTTCCTCCTTGGCCTTGATAATAACTTCTGTATCTTCTTAAGTCGTTCCCCGTAACTTAAGAGCGGATTTGAAGAAATTTAGTGTTTTTTTAGGATAAAGATATCAGAGCTCGACCGAACACGTCTTACCCCCAAATTCCACTACCTCCACTCCGCTCCGACACGAACGCCGGAGCAAAATCGGTCCCGCTGTAGTCAATCAGAGCAATTCCACTACTGCGGCCGTGCTCCGGCAGTGCGGCGCCGTGCGCCGCCCTCTGTTCTGGCGTCCGGCAAAAATAGAATCGATCCTATTTTCGCCGGACGCCGGAGCACCTCCGCAGTAAATGGACAGAAATCACAACCGTCCAACAGGAAAAGGAGCAAGCACAACTTCCGTTTTTCA